AGTCGACCATTGACAAATCTGAGACATGTGCAGTAGCTTTTCGAAACAGCTGCGAGTTGAGTATTAAAATTGACGGACAAAGACAAAGAGAGGATGGAGCGATCCTATTGGTGGAAGCGTTCCTGCTTCGTCTGGAAAACTACGATGTAACAACGCGCCAAAATAGACGGGCTCAGTACTGCCGTGCAGAGGAAGAACGCCGTATGAACCTCCAGACGCTGCCAGGTTTCCTCCGATAAAAACCGAAATTACCGGGATATTTTTAAATATTTTTTCCCAAAATTTTCAGACAGTTTAGTACGCAATTTAATCTAAAGTATCTGAAAGTTTCAACGAAGAATATCCATGAATTTTGTCAAAAAACACATGTTTTATCGAGGAAAATTTGGCAACTCTCGAATGTTCCTGTGGCGTTTTTCCGTAGCACGGCGGATTAGCACAGCGCTTAAGATACAACTATTCGTGCTCCATGGATGTCCGTGTTGCATACACAAAAAATTGAAGGCGCGCCAGAATGGGCCTGTTGTAAACTTTCGCTATATCAAAACTAAGATTTGTTTCTTATAGATAATGCCTCAAAAATCACGATGAGCGCATTGGCAAAGTCTGAAATGCACTCATAACTTCACAATCTGCGTAAGAAATTTGCGGTTTTTTGAGCTTCCCGCTTCAAAAACGATACTACGGCACAGGTGAACATTTTGTTAGAGGAGGCGTTCCATCGTCGGCAATATTCATCATGACCGACGCCAATTCGCCAAAACACGTATGATGAGACGAGATAACACCTGAACAGCATTAGACCAGATAACAATCGGCGTGTTTACGTTCATATTTTCCTCGCCCGCCTTGATTGACCCTGAACTCACCTCGAATTACGCGCGGAACTGCGGAAGCGTCGGCCATGATGAACATTCCCGACGATGGAACGACTCCTGTAACAAAATGTTCACCTGTGCCGTAGTATCATTTTTGAAGCGGGAAGCTCAAAAAAACGCAAATTTCTTACGCAGATTTTGAAGTTATGAGTGCGTTTCAGACTTCCCCGATGCGCCCATCGTGATTTTTGAGGCATCATCTGTAGGAAACAACTCTTATATTTGCTCTAGCAAAAGTTTGCAACAGGCCCATTGTCGTGTCCATACTGCAAAGCTTATACCCAATTTTTACGAAAATTGGTACTTTTAAAATAGTATCACCGCAAACTTATCTGTATTGCGTAGAAACTATCGGGCTGATAATTGCAATTTTTAAACGAAGCTTTAGACAAAGAGGACAAATGAAAAATGGAGCGACCCTGCTATCGGTGGAAGCGGGTGGTGCAATGATATAGGAGGTAAGTATTAGACTAACTAACGGCAACCCATGATTGCTCCTATTTAGTCCATCATTTTCCTCCTTAGTCTATACGCTATATGAACCACTCGTTTCAACCAATAGGTTCGCTCCATTTCTTCTTTGGCCTCTTTTTCTACCGCTTCGTCCATCTCAAGTGGTGAATTCCAACGTCGCAATCGGAGGATTGCATTTTCCCAGTCGTTTTCTCCGCTAATTTCACCAAAATCAACACAAAATTTGAGTTGATTCGTATTTCACTTCCTACATTAACCACAAGTAACACAAGAACACATATGTTTTTATCAGTGAATTTGACAACTCTCAAATGTTCATACGGCGCTCTTTCTTAGCAGAAACACTGGTGGGTCGTCTCACGTGGGTCGGCCCCGAGTCTAGAAAAAAGGAACTTTTAATCCAGCTACACTGCGCTTTTTTTCAATTCGAGTGGTGGAAAAGTTTATCTAAGAATAAGACAAGTTCACCTATCGTCCGCGTTAACATCTTCAGAGTAGCGGCCCTGAGGGAGAAAATTATCGCCCCACGCGTGGAGAGCCCCGCGCGTTTATCACCTCGACGCGGCAAACGAAATGTTAATTATCGAATTACTGGTCAGTTGGGTGGCCAGGGGTCATGCTGGACGTCAAGTTCATTCATTGAACCGACCGGCTCTCTTTCAACATTTTTTGACTCCGCCAGTAAATGGGGCATCGGGGGAGAGGTCACTTAACGAAACAACTTCCGGGTCAAATGCCATCTTTTTGCAATGTTGAAAGGACGTGGTAATAGGATAAATACGGCCATGGCCCGGATCCCAAAAAGGGGGGGGTAAAATTTTATCTAGGTCAGGCTGAAACACCCCTGAAATGTATCAGTGGTACCCACTCTTCTCATTTTCTGAAAGTGCGGATTGAGTCAAGGAGTTTTTTTCAGATTTTTATATGAACCCCAAATGGGAAACAAACCCTGATTTGGAACTGTCAAAAATAGGATTCGTCTGAGCGATAATGACGTAGCCAGCGGGTTGACTTTTGAAAATGATAGACAAAACTGTAGACAAATAAGACAAAACGAATACGGAGAGATCCTATTGGTGGAAGCAGTTGCATTGGTTGTAATGGACCCAAGAGTTAGGTAATAGACTACCTAACGGCAATTTACGAGGGACTAAGTTAGTCCATCATTTACCCCCTTAGTCTAAGAGGCACCTATATTTCAAACAACAGGATCGCTCCATATTCCCTATGTCTTTTTCGTTTTTGGCTTTATCAATCAATTTCAACAATTAGCCTGCTGTCGGGGGAAATAGCGTTTGCTGATTTGGCTGAACTGATCTTCAGGCATCGCCCCACTTTGTCAACTCGACTTTCGGCTCTTGAAAGTTCGGATTTTGATGAGCTTTGTCTTCCCTTTGAAATGATTTTTTGAACTTTTTATGGAACTGTTTGGTATTTTCACGAAATTCGTGCGAGAGAGACTGTGCTTCACCTCTCCATAAACGCTTTGCCAAGTTTCCACTCCCCGCTTATAATTTTAATTTGGGTCGATGTTGTTTTATGGCCTCAAGAATTTAGCTTCAAAAACTCAAGATTGCGATATCGCAGATGTCATAGGTTTAAAATGCCACACTCCAAGAGCGTATTTTTGGGTCAAAATAATACTCTTTCCCCCTGTATAACTTATTTTTCTAATAATGGTTTTAATGGTTTAATGGTTTGGTTACACGGCTCAAAATTTTTTGGGTAAATCTCTGTTTCTTCTGAATTTTTACTAAATCTGTATTTCACAGTTACGAACTGAACGCTTGGAGGGATATGTGAAGTTGTATCCTACGGGCTGGCAACGCTCTGGCACAAAGTCGGAGGGACTCAGGGCGCGTGTCCGCACTTTGCCGATGGGAAAAACAATGACAGAATCTGAAATCGTGCCAACTTGGAGTCTATTTTCGTGGCCTTTAATATTTGTCGCGCGGGACTATTCATTGTTTATGAACTTTCATTCATGTGTTTACTACTTAAATTATTGTTATTTCGACTCTGAATCCAAGCACAAACACCAATTAACGAATGCTGGATGCCGGAAGCGGTGGGTGGTGGATTCTCCTGGGACTTTACAGCTTCTTTCCTTTTTAAAAAAGTACAACAATGTATGAAGATAATGCCATTATGGAATGTTCCGTCCATATTACGACGAGCGAACACAGGCATTTCAGCAGAAATAGTTATGAGATCAGAGCAAAATTTGCTCTTACATCTACTCTCGGACCCAAAATGCGAATTTATGAATTTAGACTCGAAGGTCAATGCAAAGTTATTTTCTGCACCTGAAAGCATAAAAAAATTGCATGGTTGGAAGGAATCAAAAATATTTTCAGTTCAAAAGTGAAACTCTTGTTTAATACTCTCAATACCGTGATGACCTAACTCTAGGAGTGATTGAGAGTCATTATCAGGGTGTATTTACGTCTGTATTGCATTGTTCCAAGATAGCCAAGGGATGCTTATTTTTGAATGAAAGGTGACAACTGAGCAAATATTCTGGAGGAGGGAAGAGAATTCGTCTCAACAACTTAACAACTTCAGTAAATAATTCAACCACCATTCCTGAATAGTCGAGCCGTACAAAAATTAACTTATCGCAGCAGGCCCTTTAAATATATTTACGCCTTTACGCCAAAAATTCATTCAAGACCTTGATTACCATGTGATATTTGACCTACATATATACTGCCTTGCTAAGAAAAAACGCTGTAATATAATTCGAGAGTTGCCAAATTTCTTCATACAAAATGTTTATTTTTAAGGAGAGTTATGAATATATCTCTTGAAATTTTCAGATAATTTAGAATTGCTTATGATTAAAATTCTCTAAGAAAATTGGAGACAAATATTCACAGATTTCCCTGAAAATGCGTATTTTAATAGAAAAAATTTGACAATGTCTGTAGGCTAATACGGCGTTTTCCGTAGCACGGCAGCATGAAGGGAAATTTTTTCAATCTTAGGAAATTTTTCAATATTCTTTGAAACTTTACCGTCTAAAAACAAAATTCTACCAGCTTACCCCTCGTTGTTTCTGAGTGAATCGGCGCTTCTGTGAGTTCTCAACAACAAAAAACAGTTGAAACGACCAAAAAACCCGTTAAATAACACTATACATGCTCAGTTCCGATCGATTTACACGCAAAATTGACGCCGATTAAAATCAACCCGTAAACAAAAACATCGGGCCGGCTCGGAAACACACCGCAGAACTTCCGTGCTAAGGAAGAACGCCGTATGAGCATTTAAGAGTTGCCGAAATTCCCCGGATAAAAAGTGCATTTCTGAAGAAATTCATGTATATTTTTCCTTGAAATTTTCAGATATTTTAAATTGCATTGCGAGCAAAATTGTTTGAAAAAAATTAAAGTAAAGTATTCACAATTTTCCTTGAAAATTCGTTTTTTGTCGAAGGAAATATGGCCTCGTCTGAAGGCTCATGCGGCGTTTTTCCTTAGATAGGCAGAGGAAAAGTGCAGTTTCCCGGGCGTTGTTTCGGGGAAATTCCGCTGCCGTGCGAAAGTTCTCCGAAAGCTCCAGTGCACGCAAGTGAGCCTGCAAGAGACGTCAAAGTTCGACGTTTAATAAAAACGCAGCGACACGATTGGCACGCGACGGAATATGTGCCATTCAGAAGTCACCGCGGATCCCGGCGACACATCTCGCGTAGGACAGTCAAAGCTCGCTGGCTCCCGGTTCAAAAGTTCAATTGAGTTGCACGCGATTTGCTGCGAAACAATTCCAAGACGTAATACGCGTCGGCCTCTCGTTTCCTTCGACCAAGTTGTTGACGCGAATGCTCACGCATATTTCCGTTATTGAAATTCGCACTTTACTGTCGCTGATTTGAAAGTGCGGGAAAAGCTCAAGATTCCGTGTAAAAGTTCAATTGAATCTCTGCAAAAAAAAATTTTGCCTCCGCAAAAAAGCCTTCTCATTGACGCAAGTGCTCACGCACGTTGCGGCTGGAGAAGCTCGCATTTTACCGTTGCTATTTGAAAATTCGAAAAACTCGCAACCCATCGCAAAAAGTTCACGGTTTCCCCACGAGTTATTTTCTCTGCGGTGTAGTTTGGGTAAAGCCCTTGTCAGTGCGGTTACCAAAGCTGCAGGTTCGGGAATTCAAAATTATTTTAAAAAATTGATTACAGAAACTTAAACTGTGCGTGTAACGTTTACACTCGCCGGTATTTTTTTCACTATCTTCCGCAATTTCCTAAACTACTGGGCTCAAAAAGAGAGGAGTCTCTAAGTGCGAATCTAACATCCCTCAGTTATTACTTCCTTTTCGCGATATGATGCGGGTTCGGCATAGCGGTACCAGCTTAAATTGCAGCGCTGAAGACACTTAATCATCGTCTTCCCATCACCGAAGACTCTCAACTTTTAAAAGTTCAAAGCTTGGACAAAAATACACTCATTAGTTGCCACAATACTGTCCGCACGTCCACTGTCATAATTCTGATTTGTCAACTTAAAGTTCAGGAGGGGCTTCCAGCATTATTGTAAGATTCAAGAATCGAACCCTCGAATTCGGAAAGTTCAAAGCTCGGACAAAAACACTTTTTGACTGTCACACTTCTCCTTAGCCATCGGATTTTTTTTATGGCATTTTAAAACACAAACGTTTACTCGCCGTCATAATTTTGGCCGTTAGCTCGAGGCTCGTCGTAAAAAACACTCTTGTTTTCGACCGCGATCTACGCCGCACCGGCGCGGGGCGTTAAGGCAGTAGCGCTGCGTGTTTACAATGTAACGTCCGCGGGTCGAGCGTTATAGTCGATCAGCGTCGAGCGATTGCACTGCATCCAGTTATTTCTCGGCTCAATTAAAACATTAAGCTTGCACCGCGCGTTAAGTGGCGCGATCGCTCCCTCTCGAGCCGGCGATATTTACGTGTGCCCGGTAGAAATATTCCAATAACACCATTCATATTTCAAGTGTTTACCGTCCTCCATCCAGACGAGTGCTCCGTCCCCATAAAACACACACGCCCGCCGGGAAACCCATGAGTCAAACTTCGAATCATTCCCAGATTGGATCGATCTTTTTTCGCTGAGATTTAGTCGCCGACGGCCGAGGTCCGAGATAGCACTTGTATGAACTTGATGTCGTGTCTTCTCCTAGTGCGGGAGTTTCGTGCTGAAACCGCTGAAATGGTCGTCGAGTGTGAAAACGTGTCCGAAGAATCGCTGGAAGAGCCAAGTGTCTTAATCTTTTTCATCTCCAAAGCGCACGCTTGAAGGTGTTTTTTAAACTCTCGTCACCTCGTGAACTTTAATTAATTAGCGTCTTTAAAGTTTATTTATTTTAATTTCAAGTATTTAAGTTGTCTTCGCTTCTCATTTGTTTGAAAACTCATCGTGATAGATCTGATTTTCAAGATGATTGCGACTCTCAAGCTTATCAAAGAGAAAATTTTCAACAAAACTGTAAGTACATATGATATTGTGCATTTACTATGCACTTCCTTTCACTCTTTTACTTTAACTCGTCAATCTACATTACTTTTGACTTCTTTCCTTAACTAATTCAAGACAATTCAACAAATTTTAGTATTTTTGATTTTGTGAAAAAAAGATAAAATGATACAAGAAAAAATAATAACAAATCGTTAATGTGAGACAAATGTTCTAACTGCACAAACGTTGTTCATTCAAATGCTAGCAGTATTTGTGCTGAAAAACACAAACTTGAAAAAAAAAAGAAAAAAAAAAAAAATCGCGTATCCAGCGAAAGTGAATCATTATAGAGACGGGTGTTGCGCGAATATATTGGTTAAGAAACAATATTATGGAATAAAATTCAGGTGTATGAAACATTCCTGAAATACCCATTGCACACAGGGAAACTAAAAGCGCACATGCCGTTTCTGAAAGTTACAAAAATTAAGTTCCTTTCATTATAGTCCATTCTACTGCAGTGACGTAAACTCAAGAGGATTTCTGTCAAATGGAGTG